AAATATCCTATTTAGAATAAATATAGGGTCTAGAGTACCTAGCTCTAATTTAATAAAAATAATTATAGCTACTTAGCTAAAAAAAGTTTAAAATTTTTTAAATATTATTTTTTTATAGTATTTTAAACTAGGATATTTAGATAAGAAAGTCCTAGATTATTTAACTAAATTAAGTCTAAATACTAGAATAGTAAATTCTAGAAAAAATAAATATAAATTTTATTCTATATATCAGATATTCAATTACAAAGATAGATATCTAGATAATCTATTAAAATAAGATAAATACTGTTTAAAATCCTATATTAAAATCTAATCTATATAAAAAAAAAGCTAAAAGATATATAATATATTAGTTATATATACTATTTCTATTTAAAATTTTATATAGGATAGACTCTAAGATCTAAATCAGAAATTTCTAATTTATTAATTAAATTAGTAAATTATGATAAATTATCATAGAGGTCAAAATTGTTGATTCTCGTTGTCTGGTTCTAGCTACGTGACTATGTTACAAAGGCGCGCGTAGGCGCTAGGCCGGATATGGAACCCGCGGTCAACAAATTATATTAAAAATTCTATATAGAGATCTAAAAAATAGTTCTAATTATATAAAATTTAAGTCTAATTTTTCTAATCTAAAAGGATATAATTATAGGATCTATACTCAGATTACTAAAATAATTTAATTAAATAAGCTTAAACTAAAAGCTCTAACTGGCTATTTAGAGAATATTATTTTAATATATAGTAAATATAGCTTTTTATTTAGAAAAGATTATATCTATAAGAGATTGTATTTTTAATAAATTCTATATTTTTAGTCAGAATTTAGATAGTTATATAGAAAATTTATATAATAAATTAAAGTAAGCTCTATTAGAAGTCCTAAATAATTAAAATTAGATTAAATTTTAGATTTAATAAAACTAGATCCTATTCTTATATAATTAATCAGATCTAGATAATCTAAATTTAGATTATTAGAAAATTAATTAAATTAATTAAAATAATTAAATTCTAAATAATTAACTATTTATACTATCTACTAGAGAGATTTTATCTAGTTCTAGAATATCTATAGAACTATTCATTAAATTACTTATTTATTTTTGTAGAGAACTATATAGGCTCCCTATATTAATAGTTCTAATCGATAATAGAAATTTTAATAAAATAGATTTCTATAGATTAGAATCTATTAATTTAAATCTAAAAAGATCTAGATCTAAGTTATCTAATAATCTAAACTCTAGATTTTAGTAGATTTCTAGAAATCTTTCTATAAAAAAGAATAATTTTAGATTATTTTTATATATTTTTTATTAGAAATTAGAATAAATTCAGATAAAAATTCTAATAAAAGACTTTTTAAAAATAATTTATTTTCTGAGTCTTCTAGTTAATCTAAAATATTTAAGTCTAAATTTAGATCTGAATAGCTATTAACTATACAAAAGAAATATAAATAATTAATTTAGATAAAAATCTAAACTTCTATTTTAATTAAAAAAATTGATAAAAATCAATTTAAAATATTACTACTAAAATAAATATTTGTCAGCTGCCCTAATCCTAAAGCGGAATAGTCTTAGGGCTGGCTTTAGAGAATATAAAAATAAAATAATAATATAGATTAGATAACTAGATAAGATTGAAGAGATCAAAAGAATGAATAGGAAATCTGACTGATAATCAGGTAGTTGGTTGATGATCTGCTTGAATCAAAAAGATCATTTAGTAGATGCTTTTAGGCCTTATTTATAGACAATTTTTAGGCCTTGCTTTTAGTGAATGATTCAAATCAATATAGAATTAGTGAATTTATTATTATAACTAATTATAACTAATTCTTAATTTCTAATAATTTCTAATAATTTATAATAAATTATAAGAAATCATTCAAAGTCATGAATCATAGATTCCTTCTAGATCTTGATTGAAAATAAGGTTTCAATCTAGTCTCAAATAGGTAATACTATAGAAGCTTTCTAGAATATTTACTAAGTAGGAAATATCCTTTCAATTTTATTCAGTATTACCTAATAAGGAAATATATTTTTCTAGAATATTTCCTAAATAGGAAATTTCACTCTGACAATTATAAATTATATATAATATATTTTATATTTTACTTTAATTTACTATGTATTTATTAATTAAATTACTTAGTTAATTTTTGCTATAGAAATACAGTGATTTTAAATAATAGAATTATTATACTTATTATATAATAAATAATTCTGCTAACGTATTTCACTAGCGGGATGGCCCCACACAAGCGGGATAGCCACCCCACGCATTTTGACCACAGTGAAAAACCTCACCCACTTCAACCACCAATCATGCCTCCAAAAGCGCGTCAAAATTCAAGAAATCTAGTTGAGCAAGAGGAAAGAATTCTGCTTGCTATATCTGCTTTAAAAAATCAAGAAATTAATAGTATTCGCGAAACAGTATATATTTTTAATATCTCTCGCTCAACTTTACAAACCCGACTATACAGTATACCAACACATCTCGAAACATATGCCAACAACCATAAGTTATCTCAAAATAAAGAGGAATTGCTTGTACAATAGATTCTATTACTAGATCAATATAGAGCGCCTCCTAAACTATCAGATACGCGAGAAATGGCTAATATTCTTCTTACTAGCCGCGGTACTATATCTATTCAGTCAGTCGAAGTAAACTGGGTTATTAACTTTGTTAAACACTATTCTGAAGTAAAATCCTTCTTTTCTCGACAATATAATTATTGACACGCTAAATGTGAAGACCCTAAGGTTATTAAAGAGTAGTTTGACCGTGTACAAATTACTATAATACAGTATAGGATTGTATTAGAAGATATCTATAATTTCGACAAGACTGGTTTTGCTATGGGCCTAGTAGCTACTACTCGAGTAATTACTAAAGCTAATTACTATAGAAAAGTGTATCTTGTACAGCCAGGTAATCGGGAATAGATTACTTCGATTGAATATATTAATTCTACCGGTTGGGTACTTCCTCCGTATATTATCTTTAAAGAAAAGGTCTATATAGAGAACTGGTATCAAAATCCAAAGCTTCTATTGGATAGCAGAATTGAAGTTAGTTCTAATAGATAGACTACTAATAAGATAGGTCTTTACTGGCTTAAAAATCTCTTTATTCCTGCTACTATTAGTTGTACGACTAGGAAATACTGCCTTTTAATTATAGACAGCTATGGCAGTCATCTTACACCTCAATTTGATTAGATATACAGTGAGAATAATATTATCCCTATCTATATATCTGCATATTCTTCCAACAAGCTACAGTCTTTAGATATAGACTGTTTTCGGTCTCTAAAAGACACGTACAGCGATTTAGTAAAGCAGAAAATAAGTTTAGGAGTCAGCTATATTGACAAGCTTAATTTCCTATAGATTTTTCCAGAGGCTCGCAAAAGTGTGTTTACAACAGAGAATATTCAGAATAGTTTTACAGGTACTGGCCTAGTTCTATTTAATCCAGATAGGGTACTAAGTAAGTTGGATATCTAACTGAAGACACCTATACTACTAGATAGTCAGTCAACTAATTCCGCACCTAAAACGCCCTATACTACTAGACAGTTAGAGAAGCAGGTATCTGCAGTAAGAAAGCTACTTAAAGAATATACTCAAAGTTCTTTTCCTTTGCTAGAAGTACAATTAGACAAGATTATTAAAGGTTATAAATTAACTCTTAATAAACTTATTCTTGTAAAGAAAGAAATATACAAGTATTGTACTAATAATAAATAGAAAAGCCAAAAGTAGAAAAGATCTGCTAGACAGCTAGCTATAGAAGAAGGTGTATCTCTTCAGAAGGACCTAGAGCGATTTCAGTATAAAAATAAGGTGTAGGCAGCTTAGAATACTATTCCTATAGATCTAGTGTTTTCTGTAGTAAGACCGCGTGTACGAGCGCCACTGTAGTGTTCTAATTGTTATGTTCGAGGATATACTAGAGCTAGATGTCCTAAACTACTTAGTAATTAATTTATATATAGAAATGCAGCTGTTTTGGTGAAAAAGGCTCTAGTAATTGGCCCGCAGACGGAAATCGGTGGCGGGTGGCCATCCCGCTAGTGAAATACGTTAGTGTATATTATATATAGCTGCTTATCAGCTGCTTTACCATATAAATAAAGAACAACTTCTTCTATATACACTCTCGGTGTGTAGCCTTTAGGCCCAACAATATAGAAATAGATACACAGTTATATAAATTTTCTAAATATAAGAAAAATTTAGTAATCAAATATCTTTTTATACTATATTAAGATATTAAATAGATAATTAATATATTAAAAATTTAAAATAGTTTTACTATAGATTTTTATATAATTAGTTCTCTATAATATACCTTTAATCATAGTTTAGACTAATTACTTAAGATCTATAGACTATTAGTTAATTAACTTTTTTTTTATAATAATATTTTATAATAATAATTTTATAATTTTAGTTAAAAATCTATAGCTAACTTAATAAATTATTTATTAAATTAAATAAATTTAAAATATAGAAAGTAAAAATATCTAATTTATTATTTTGATTTCAATTCTCTAATTATTTAAAATCTATGATAAAATAGTTTTTAGCTAATTCGCTAAATTATTTATTTAAACTAGCTTTGTATACTATATTTTATATAATTTTGGGTTATAAAATAAAATAGATATTATTAATTTAAAATTATTAATTCTGATAAGATTTTATTAGTATAATTTTCTAAATTTTTTTATTCTGTTTTTTTTAGTTAGGACTAGTATCGGAATCTAATCCTATACAGTATAATGGGAGGAGGTCTGAATGGCTTTTACAGGAGGTCCTTTTAACACGACCCTTAGATAATCTTAGTAATCCAAATCAAAGGTCATGTGATTCCCTCGCTGCGTACACAGTAATAGTATGCCTTCTGTGAGGTCCTTGAGTAGCCTAGTATTGAAAACACTGTTGTTGTGTTGTGTCAACGGGAATGGGTTGGTCAGGACTCAGGAAACGACGAGTAACTATTAAACACTACTAAACCCAAAGGTCCTGAGATAATATAAATTATATAATCTAAAATTTGTAGGATCGGCATTTACTTACTGATTATCTTTTAACTAAAAAAATAAGTACGCTGCACTGCACTACCCATGACCCTCATAGCATTTCAATATCCCAGACCCTTAGTTACCGAGAAACGCCAAGAACTTGATCTCTTTAAGGCACGTGCACTTGTGGAACAGTCAGACAAGTAATAGCAACTGCAAGCAAGTATTTCCTTGCTACCGCGCATTGAACTGGAGACAGATCAAATAAAAGAAGACATGGAGAATAGCACTGCATCAGAAGGCAAAGATCCATCAGTCTTTCTGAGTGAGATTATTGGTGCCCCAGTCACTGTGAAGTTGAACTCAGGCGTTGTCTACAAAGGTCATCCCATTCTCACTAGAGCTATGATCCTGGCCCGACTGCTAATATCAGGCTAGGTGAACTTCAATCAGTAGACGGTTACATGAACATTGCTCTAGAAAAGTCCGAGGAATATGTGAATGGGAAGTTAAGGCGAAGTTATGGAGATGCCTTTGTCCGAGGAAATAATGGTATGTTCTATCGACCCGTCCTAGCAAGGTTATAGCTCTAATTCTGGATTTACTTACTGTAGTGCTTTACATCTCTGCAAATTGAGGTTCTGATGGGTGATATCAACGGAGTAGCATTGTCGCTCATTGGTTAACCCGCGCTATGTCCGCGAAATCAAGCTACAAAATGTCCCAACATGGCATATCAGATACGACGGAAGGAGGGAAATTGCTGGTACCATAATAACAGCAAGCTGGCTGAAAAAAGGAAAACCTTCAGTGACCACTTGTTTTTCCTATACTCACGTCTAGTGCCGTCCTATCCACGTCGGGTCATCTTTCCCATGACAGCTCCAGTCATAGGGGAGGCTCTACTTTAGTGCCCTTGTATTGATTGCCCCCACGACAATTTAGAAGCCCTATATAATATCTACCCGAACTCTGTAACAAAAATAACTCTATAGTCACCTAACCACCGAGTATTACATCGCTGTCGTTGTGATACCCGAGAACAAAACAACCCTACTGTCGGGCTATTATAATACGGCCTAATAAAATTTATATAATAGACTCTGGATAAAATGTGAATTACTCAGTGTTTGCTGCCTCTGCCGATTGTTGGGAATATCCTCCAAATCTAATATGAAACGCGTGTATGTGCTACGTCAATGCCGCTTGTTGGGATTTACCAAAGCATATGCCGAATTTTGCGTTCATTTGGCAGCTTGAAGAAATTAACCAGACGTGCGGTTACTTAAGTGCATATAGAGAACTATATACTACTCTGGAGTAAATCAGATAAAAGTATAGGTGACTAAGTATCATATAAGCCAATTTATGTGACTCGTTGCTCCAGCAAAATGAGGTGAGGGGGGTGTTGCCCCACCTGAAATATTGTGTCAACCTTTGCTCCATAATTGCTAATGATGCATGGGCGAAGAGCGAGCTGGCCGCGGGGTCTTTCCTTTTCACATCTTCCTTCCGCTCGCCACCCGCTCTAACCTTGTTTGGTTTCCTTCTGCCAGAAAATTCTTGTATTTATTCCACATATCTCTCATAATGACTCTGCAAGCAATCAAGTATAATGGTGGCAAACTTGCCATCATTGATCAACTACAGCTTCCACATGTTGAGAAGTACATTACAATACATACAAGCGAAGAAGGCTGGCATGCAATCAAGGAGATGCGAGTGCGAGGGGCACCTGCGATTGCTATAGTAGCGGCGCTCTCACTTGCATCAGAGCTTACCACTCTAATAACTCGCAACAAATTACCCTCGAATGCTATAGAAACACAGACTTTTATAACGGAGAAGTTACATTATCTGGTGAGCAGCAGACCTACAGCAGTCAACCTTAGTGATGCAGCAGGAAAACTGGAGACCATAGTGGCAGAAAGTGTGAAGATGCCAGAGTCCACAGGCCACACCGTTGCTACTGCGTTTATGCGAGCCGCCGAAGCAATGCTAGTGAAAGATGTTGAAGACAATAGAAAGATTGGAGCATATGGTGCCGAATGGATCTCAGAGAATGCTCTATCTAAGAACGTTACTAAGGCTACGGTTCTTACGCATTGTAATACAGGGTAAGCATGCCATTGTCTATAATCAGACTTTCCTAATCATGTCGCCAGTTCTCTCGCGACCTCGGGGTTCGGGACAGCCCTGGGGGTGATTCGTGCACTCTCTTCAGCCGATACCTTGCGGCATGCCTATTGCACCGAAACGAGACCTTACAACCAGGGCTCCCGCTTGACAGCATTTGAGCTGGTTCATGACTGTATTCCTGCTACTTTAATAACAGACTCAATGGCAGCTGCATTGCTCGCTAGAGCTGAGATAGCCGTGGATGCAATTGTGGTGGGGGCAGACAGGGTAGCAGCTAATGGTGATACCGCAAACAAGATTGGTACATATGGGCTCGCTGTGCTTGCAAAATACCATGGTGTGAAATTCCTCGTGGCTGCGCCGCTCACAACTATCGATCTAGTCACCAAGTCAGGGAATGAAATCACTATCGAGGAGCGGCCCGCATCCGAGGTTACTATGGTCAGGGGCACCCGCGAAGACGGTGGTGCAAACGAAGCTGTCAAAATGGAAACCGTATGCATAGCAGCGAAAGGGATCAATGTCTGGAATCCAGCATTCGATATAACCCCAGGGGCTCTTATCGATGGTATCATAACTGAAAAGGGAGTGGTGGAAAAGGACTCTGATGGATTATTTCACTTAGAGGAGCTGTTCAAAGCCTGAGAAGTAGCTGAAACCCCGCCTTTGCCCTGGCAATTAGTCTTTCCCGTCGTGGGTTGCGGTTGACGTGTCCCTTCGAAGCCATTAAGCAGTTCGTCAATTTTGCGTTCCAGGCTGCTTAGGTGATTCTCCAGCGCTAGAGCGGTTTTCTCGCCTCTGGGAAGTACAAGTTAGGGTCATAGGAACAGTTATAGAGCAGCAGGGTCTCTGTACTTGGAAAGATCATTAAATGCCTGTAACTTAGCGTTAATGCAATCTGTTTAAGCATACAAACAAGTCCATAAACTGCATCAAAAGGAATTTAACATCCTTCCCAGGAGAAACTCACTTGTATGATGTTTGAGTCATCTTGATTGTCTTTCTCGTGCGACATGACTTTAGTAGGACCACTGGACCGTATTTATAAATGTTTTTGGGGGGAGGGGCGAAATTGCAGTCGGCGTTTTCATAATCAAACAGGTTTATTGTGGTTCCGAAGCTAAGATCCTAGCCTTTGTAGTCACCTGATTCTGCACATCTACTACTAATATATAGATATACATAGGTGGTAGTAGAACCTATTCCGTAGGGAGGAGAGGTATTGAGGGTTTGTCGATAATTTTTGTATTAAGTCACCCTTGTACGGAGTGAGTCACTGTTAAAGTAGCCCATCCTAAGGAATAGACTGATAATATAATCATATCTAGACTAGAGAGACGTATGTATTAAATTGTTTATTACCTAGATTTACTATTTAGACAGCCATAACATATCTATTGCGGCCCCAGACTACTTAAGTTTATGTAGATATCTGATAGTCTACTTATTCCATAGTCCCGAGTCACGGAAGGGTCAACATGCAGCGCGGCATAAGGAGAACCAGCTAATGGGATACCAGTCAAACACCGGATTCCTGCAGATTTTAAAAAACCAATACATGGATTCAGCCGGGTCTTTCTTTCCGATTTCATGTGAATCTGGAGTGGCTCGATCTATTGGAAGGGTCGAGGCCTCATTCGTGCCCAGGTAATGCGTTAGTTATACATCATCGGATGTTAGATATTTAGCATCCGCTGTAACATATAGTAGCTGATCTGATGAAATCTTGCTATGCATGTATGTACATAATACTTCATAGTATTCCTTACCTTAAAAGTGTCATCTAGGTTAAAGAGGGCACAAAGCGTGGCGATTACATACTCGCAACTTCACTTGATGCTGACGAGTACCTATGATTTGAGAAATCACTCGTTTGCCCATGCTCTCTCTCAATCAAAATTAAGTTAAAGAGTACGTACTAGTACAATTCCTGGTATATTCCTACAGTACAAGGCCGTATTGTGGATACTGGACTGAATTAGATTTAAATAGTGTTAGGGTCAGGACATCTGTCCAATCAACACACGACATTCGGACTTCTTCAACATTACTCAGTCCACCGTCATAATCCGCTACCGTAGGACAGGCGCCCTGTCGAAAGGGTACCTCTCGCAGTGCAAAAGTGACCGCCTAAGATATTAGGCACCCAAACATATCCTCACCTTGACATTCTTTTCAGGTGGAGGAGTCCTGCTAATTGGAAGAACACACCATCTATCTTTTCCGTACTTATTTTGAAATCCATGCGGTCATTTTTCAAGAGGCCTTCGTGGGCAACAAGGGGAGGTGATGATCAGGACTCTAATGATTTCTACCGTCGCGCTGGCCAGACGTACGCAGACATTATTGCTGCAAGTAAGGTAGCTCGAGATAGTCCACTATGTCGTTCTGGCAGTCCTACTACAGAGGACGGTAAGGTTTGTAAGCGTCGACACATCTCACAGGAACCGCCGTCAAGAGAAATCGCGCCCCGAGTTCTTCCTGGCGGCGGCCAAGAGAAAAGTGATATACAAGGCGCATCTCCATGCAACTTTGATTCCTGCAAAACCCCATCAGACATAGGTGATCGTAACGACTGCCGAACGCCCGTGCAATTGCCAACAGAGAAAGTTAGCACTGCTGGCTCGAAAGCTGATTCCATGAACACTAGGGGTATTCGGCCCTACCCAAGCGCCAATGCAGAAATAACGAAGACGATAATGGCGGTCGGCAAGACCCCTGTTTCTTGTGATGCTCAAAAGAATCAGCGAAAAGTTTCAATCCATACAGATCATCTTGATTCTATGGAGTATGATGCGGTTGTTCAGATTCTTATCACCTCCAAAGTCGAAAGCACGAAGCCGCTGATAGTCCACCGAAAAATGTCCCAGTCACTAAGAGATGTTCGTCTTGCATGGTGCAACCGCCAGGGTATACGGAAAGAGATGCAGCCATCCATAATCCTGACTTGGAAGGGCAGGAGGTTATTTGATGTCACAACATGCAGGAGCTTGGGACTTAGCGTGCCAAAAGGCCTCGCTGACAGTTCAGTTTATGGCGATCGTGTTCAGTATGGCAGCAAAGAAGACATCCGTATTCACATGGAAGCTGTTATCAAAGACAATGTAAAGTCAACGGATGATTGGCAGGCTTCGCATGAAAGTTATTCTGCATTGGCCCAAGAGTCTGCCGCAACTGATGGCAACAGCAGGCTTCCATCAACAAGGGTCGTTTTGAAGTGCCCAAGGGCCGGCGACATGGAATTAAATGTTAATTCAAGAATGCAAATCTCGCGACTTGTCACTATCTTTCGTGATACAAAAGAAATACCAGAAAATCTGGAAGTGTACCTAGTGTTCGATGGTGATCGGTTAGATCCCAGTTCTTGCCTGTCTATGTATGATATGGTAGACGGCGACCTCGTGGATGTCGTGATCAAATGAATTGTGGAATGCTGTGGACGCCTTTGTCCACTCATTGAAGGGAACAGGGCTTGCTCTAATTGGCGGTCAACAGACCGTTTCCTATACCCATACAATAATGTATATGATAGGTTTTATTGGCTTGAACTAGGCCATGCTAGATGCATAATGTTCGATAGCTGATATGAGACGAGGAGGTAAATTCGATATCATGAAACTATATTTGTTACACGAAGCGTTAGTAAATATATACATCATAGAAGGCCAGCAATTGACTGTGTACTCTTGGTTGGGAGTTTGCATTACCCGTGAGAGTACTGTCCAAGTTGGAAATTTTTTGGCAGTAGATTTTTGTCTCCTTCCGCTGAGAGATTATTTGCCCCCAGCCATATCCTCTAGTGTCTCTCTGCTCTTACATGCTCCATTCTCAACTGAAAAATCGCTTTGGCATACCCATAGTTTAAACAGACTCAATGAAGCTGATCACTGCCAATTTTTTGACCTGTGCCGTCAAAGGGTGCAAGGCATCACCGGAGTCGTTCCCACTTCATTTTAGGGATGCGGAGCTTGAGCTGCAGGAGATTGATTTTCAACCCGATTTTATCCGTAACATTGTCCCTCGGATTGATTGGCATGCGTTGCAGACAATGGCAAATGAGGTAAGTAAACGCATGTGCTATTATGTGATGTGTTCAGATAAGGATAGCGCTCACTTATTACAAGCTTGGGTTCCCCAAAATCATGGATAAGAAGCCCGAGGGCGATGAGCTCAGGGATGAGCAAATATTAAAGGAGCTTCATCGACTATTATTGGAAACGCAAATTCTTGAGGGAAAATTGACTTGTGGTCATTGTGGGCATGAATACTTGATCAAAGAGGGGATTGCAAACTTCCTTCTACCAAGTCATTTGGGTCTGTTAGCCTCTCGTTACCTTTCCATCCTGCACGTTCTGACTTTTCTTAGTTTAAATCTTCTGCATATACTGTTCCATTACGTGCGGCAGGCTGAGTGTCAGGTTACAATAGCATGGAAGATCTTGTTCCCTGTCCTTGCCTCATTAGTATATCAGATACTTTCCCGGAAAAAGTTCCGTGTTACATGTTACAATCCCCGCAAGCGTCTTTTGTGTCTGCCCGAATAGCATATATCGTAAAGAAGCTTGTGTGACGAAGAGCCAAGTGGTGAAAGCTATATGGTACATGGTTGTTGCAGTTGATTCAGAAATAATATGAAATACAAAGCATTGCCGTGATAGGAACCGCATACAACAATGGAAACGAGAAAGCAGAAAATCACGCATGGGCCAGTTTATGTGAACAGTTGTTAACCCAAGCCTCAGCCAAGACGCCATAATACCAACGCTGCATCTGTCAAACAAGTCCGGATATTATGCTAAGTTGAGCGAAAGAAATGGAACATAAAGAGGGGGCAACAGAGGCCGGCAGACGGGTGAGATATCCTGTGTGCAGAGAACATGCGCCTGGGCATCTCAGTTAAGGAACCCTTTGCACCCGGTTGAGCCACAAAGGCATGGGATCCTATCATCGCTATCCCACTCTCTTTCAAATTTGTAGTCATACGTCAGCTCCTCATCTGCAGAGATTAGTAAGTCAACTTGTACACCCATGGGGATATTATGTGTTTTTGTCAAACTCACCTCTCTCGATGTCTCTCAAAGCATATATAACAATACGCTTGCTACCATCAACTTTAATGATTTTGGCAGTGCAATTCGGTGTACAGCTATGGTTGATAAACCTAGCAATGCCCCCTCTCTTTGTAGCATCTATAACCGTGTTCTCATCAATGCGGAAAAGGTAGCTGCTGCCGATTCCGCTCTTTAAATACTGTCTCTCCCTCATGTCCGCAACCTGCTGCCGCACTTTTTCACCTACATATTCAATTATCATGTCATTTGCTGATATATTCTCTTCGGCGTAGAGGCCCCAATTATGAATAGCTGACCGAGCAAAGCGTACTGGCTTCTTTCGTTTCTTCAGCTGATTGAAGCGAAGGACGTCGCCGTCTCCGGATTGAGTGGGAAGGGCCTGTTTCTGTGCATTGATGTCTGCAATCAATCGGCGGTTATTGACTCGTGTAGACCTGGAAGTAGACTTAGAGATGTTCTTTGCCGCAGCAACTCTTGCAGCCTCAACTGCAGCAGTATGCGGATCATTCTTTGCCCTGGCCTCACGCTCTTCACGTGCCTTCTGGACTTTGATACGATGTGGCAGGTATTTTGACTTCTCTGACTCCAATATTTTCTTCCTTCCTTCTGTTCGAGCAGCACCTGTTGTATTGGGCACGTAATAACCTGCGATGCCAGTCTCTCCACGCACAGGACCCACATCGCCGGGATGATTGAGGGCTTTGATTTCCTTCTGCCTCCATGCCCAAGCCGACAAATTCCCAACGTTGGATTCGGGATATCCAACAAGGATATCTCGAAGAAAGTGCAGATCTTCATCGTCTTTTATTAGATTCTGCCATCCGTCGAGATCCATGATAATTCCGTCGTCATCATCGACAATTGGCCTAGGCTCGTCATTCGACACTCGCCATTCCACCTCTGTTCGGGGTTCTTTGCGCACCGCCGCATTATCGACATCGTCAAGAGGAGCTAGTATACCACGGCGGTCTTTCTCTATCATTGAAGACGTAATATCAATACTACCAAAGTCCAAATGGTTGGCATCTTCCGTCTCTTGCCGGCTATCATTACTCTCTTTTGGAAGGATACTCAAAGCAGATTCTGAATCTTTGAGATTTATGTCCACCGCTATAGGGGTTGCGATGATTTGGGCGCCTTCGACTTGAGTTTCTGCAATAGGGTTAATGCCAAAAAGTTCGTCGTCTTCCTTCTGTCTCTTGCGCGCCTCGAGTTCTTCGCTGGCTCTTTTCCGCTTCCGCAACTCTGGCGAGATTTCGCGGCTTCCAAGCTGTGGACTTTGGCCTACCGATTGGTTGTCCTTCAAAATCTCATCAGGCTCTTGACTTTGACCTGAGCCAGCCAATTCTACAGCTGGGATGCCCAAAGCCTGGGAAACAAATCCGTCGCCATCATCAGATTCCGAGGTGCCTGAGCTCATCCGACTTGGAGGCCGGCTGTCTTGCTCATCCGTATCTTTTGGTGTTCGCTGCTCATCATCTGAGTCGTCAACGTCATGCAACTGTTGTAGTCGGTGATACAGTGGCCGGACCTCTCTTCTCCGCAGCGGTTGCTTGCGCCTTTCATCCAAGAAAGCAGTATCTGTGCGACCAAGATGACGAGCCTTCCGAATACGCGGAAGTGCAAGAATATTTGGAGTAGATCCACTGAAAGGACGCCTTGCGTCTGATAACCCTGGCCGCGAGTCTGGTGTCCCGAACGAATCATCAATTCGAAACATGGGTCTCTTGATCCCCTCCGGGTCAGCGATACCTAACGTTTTCCTTTTCAGAGCATGCCGATCAGGGTCGAGATAATCATACAATGCTGGTGCCGCAATGCGTGACTTCACATCCTCAAGAAGTTTATCTTTCAGGTCCCGAATTATGATGGTTAATACTTCTCGGCAGGGATCAAGGTCAACCGCTCGCTGCCTTTTCTCTTCTTCGATATCAAGACCCACTTCTCTTTTCAGTCTCTCTCTTTCTGCTCGCTCGCGTTGTTCTGCTCGACACCGCTCAGGACTTGGACTGCGCTCGTAGCTGGGATTGCCATAAGGCTGGCTTTCCATATTCATGATATAGGTGAATAGAGGCTTCATGTGGCACATTTTGTAGCAGCGCTCAGTTTCCTCCTCACCGCGCCTAGAGTTCTCAAATATAATATAATACCCAGTCTTGTCGCAGCGAATGTCTTTCCAGTTAAACAGCTTGAGCCTCTTCTTAAGGTGCGGAACGGTTGTACTAAGGACTGGTACGTAGCAATGAGCAATAAAAATATACGGATCCCTTTTGATCTGACTCAAAATGGGCACTTCCTCGACCAAAGATGGCATGACAGGTTTAAGGAAATTTGCCCTCGGTCCTTCAGGAATTGCAACTAGAGGGCGAACAGAGGATTTTCCTGAAGGACCTTTCGGCGCCGTCGGAGGAGGCTCATTTTTCTTTGTTTCCGAATCAGATCTCACATCTTCTGTAGATGGATGACTGCTTTTCTGTCCCATCCTCTGGGACTCAATTGCCCTTGCCACAAATCTGTCTGAAACAACCCCATCGCGATCCAAGTCAACCCTGATTCTTCGTGTCCCAATGCGCTGCTCTTTTCTGCACTCGTAGTACGCTCGCCTAGCCGCGCTTGCTGCAAGGACAGGACCGCCACCCCGAAATGAAGCGCTGTCTTTATATTTTACTGAGCATATTCCAAGAAACCTGCCAGTAATCGGATCGGTGCGGTTATTTATCTCGCCAATATCTCCGAAGCTCGAGAACAAGGCGCTGATCGGCGCAATTGGAGTGAGCGGGTCAAAACCAGTGATAACAATCTGCGCAGGAGGACCGGGCCCTATTGTCGTTGAAGCATCATAAGGCCAAGGCTTTAGGGTATAGGGCGCTGGTCGATATTTCCTCTTCTGCTTGCAACCGGCGCCTCGCATATAATTTGGAATTCCCAGGCGAGGATCTGGTGGGCAATTGTCTTGCTCGCTCAGTAGAATATCGACATAACGGGGTTTTTTTCGCTTCTCTTTCGAAGATGATCGTTTTTCGGTGTCAGGGTCATAGACCAGCTTGTAACCTCTGATGCTTCCAGTGCGACGGCCTTGAGACTGTGGTGTTGGAGGGGTATGAAGAGGGGTTATTCCACTCTTGGTGTCGATAGTAGTACTTGCAACAATGCCTTCTGCTATTTTATTCCGGGGTGAGTTTGCTTTATGAGGAGGCGATGATTCTGCATTGGTAAGAGGAGTTAAGGTGTCAAGACGCGCTTCATGCGAATTCGCGCCATGCTGACCAACAGATAAGCTCAGGGCTGAATGATCCCCTATTGTGGAACTTGCAGAGCCTTCGACAGACGATTCAGGTGACGTTTTCTTTGAATCAGTAGAAGATATTTGCCCAGAATCCAGAGATGCACCACCGTTAGACAAGTTGAGAATGGCTCTTGTTTCCGTGGGGCACGTTGATGATTCATCGCTATGTTCACTATCAACTTGGGCTTTAGGTCGCGGTCGCTCCCTAGTTACTTTAAATCGTTTCTGCTGAAGGACAGACGGCGCAGTAGGGAAGAAGTCTGCAAAGCCTGCCGAGGAGCGCGACATACTGAGAGATGGCTACGAGCCAAAATCAGACCAGCTGCGATCAGAAGGCAGCATCCTTAACCGTTGTATTCGGCTAATGCACAGTCATAAGGCCAGGTATCTTCCCTGGTGTAAACCGTACAAGGTGGAACCAAATCTGGCAGAAGAGATCGGGTACGGACGTTGTGAAAAAAAGGTGGAAGGCGGTAGCTTATCGAAGGCAAAGGGGAGCGGTTGATTGACGTGAGCCCAAGAATTGCGAGAGTTTAGGATGTTCAGGATCGCAAGAAAAGCGCCCATTAGATGTGTTCTTGAATCGCCCTACCAACGCGATAAAGGAACCAAAACGCGAAGAAACTCACGACTAAAGCTGGAGCGGTGGGGGAGGGGATCTCACGGAGCCTCGCTGGAAAGACTGCAACCCACTGGCAGGCAAAAGGATTATTGCAGTATTCTGGGTTAATGTATTTTTGAACATGGGAGGAGTGGTCCTTGGTTTTCTCTTCTTTCCCTTTCCCTTGGGAGCGAGGGGAAGAAAGTGTTGCCAAAGACCCAGTTTAGATCCTGGAACCAGAGCACATGTTGCAAAGTTCATTCGCGTAAATAGTCAACACGCAATTTAAAGTGGACTCGATAGACTTCAATCATGAATATTTACTATTCTTCAGTGTTCAATTTTTATAGCTCGGATATACTTAGGATTAGATAGTTACTCACTGTTCTCAACCTGTCTGTCCTCGTCTTTTTCTTTTAGGGATATTCGTACTCCCCCTTCTTGAGGCCCCAATTAATCTGAATCTAATTTATGCTATCTATACAAGCAGCCAGTTTCTTGTAGATCCCTGGATAATATCCTACTATTTAGAAGAGACCTACTTGAAATCTTTCCGTATGAAGGATATTAATCGTGGATGTCAAAATCACATTAAATAGATATAATTGACACCGGCTTTTAGCTGTGTACACCGTACACTCTATCCACAAAAACACTTTTAAGGTATTAGGGCCAAATAGTTTCTTGGGGACGCTTCTCATCAAGGGCTCCATTTATCTCAATCAATGCCACATCACTACTTTCACATACTCTTAGAAGATAATTCAAGCAAATACATACTTGTCGCAATGTCTCGATGGAGAAGCGGTAGTCTGACAACATAAAATATGTGGAAATCTAGTGACTTTTGTATATGCTGGAGGTTTGGATGCTGAGAGGTGATTCTTGTTGAGTAGGATGATCATCACTGGACATGACTACGGTTCTACAAGACTACAGGACTTGCCATGCACGGCTTTGAACCTATAATAATAAGAACAAACAATAGAGTGCTTGATTGTTGGAAGCCCCACCCACCAAAAAACATAGCATTCCAAGGAGAAAATTTTGGTATAACCCAGAGGTAGATACTAGTATTCACCATGTTTAACCAGCCAGTGTATTCATTGTACAGTACACAATTG